TTTATTGTTTCAGGCAGTGGAATTTGGCAGATGGCCTCTTTTTGTTCTGAACCTAGTTCTCGTTGGCTTCCTGATGTTTTGTAGGTGACTTGTTGCAGTATCAGCTGTGCCTTCTGTTGGGTAACTCGATATTCTGTTAGTCCAAGAAAATCCAATACACAATCCTTTTCTTCCTCTGTGGCTATTAACAGGTCATCTACAATTGCAACACAACACCTTTTTCTGTAGGGGCTCTCCCATAATTCAAGATCTCATGCCAACTGATTACCAAATATTGTGGGACTATTCTTGAATCCTTGTGGTAACAGTCCAAGTAAGTTGTGTTTTCCATCCAGTACTTGGGCTCTCCCACTCAAAAGCAAACAGTCTCTGCCTTTCCTCAGCCATAGGCAAGCAGAAAAAAGCATCCTTTAGGTCTAATACTGTGAACCAAACCTGATTATGCCTTAACTTCGTTAAGAGGGTATAAAGGTTTGCCACTACTGGATGTAAATCTGTAACAATTTGATTTATGGCCCTCAGATCTTGAACTACTCGGTATGACCCATCCGTTTTCTGAACTGGTAAGATGGGCATGTTATATTATGATTCACATTCTACCAACAGCCCATATTTCAGAAGATTATTTATCGTTCCTTCCATTCCTTTTCTGTCTTGTAATTTCAAGGGGTACTGTTTTAAATGGACTCTAGAGGCTTTCTCTTTTAGTTCAATTATTACGAGGCTTGGATTTTTAGCTTTCCCTGGTGCTCCAGCAACCCATACTCCTGGATATACTTGGTTCAGTATTTCCTCCATCCATGGGGGTTGACTAGCTATTGTTTCTGGGCTTGCGAGGGACAAACTTAACAGTTCAATTAAATTTTTATCATTTACTCTTAGTTCCATTTCCCCTTGCTTAAAGATAATGTTGGCTTCTAACTTCTCTAACAAGTCTCTTCCTAACAGAGATTTTGGGGAGTTTAGTAAATACAGAAATTGGTGCATTCCCACAGCTTTTCCTAATATGAATTTTAAAGGTCTTAGAAAGAACACCTTTTCCTGTTGGCCAGTTGCTCCCACAACGTTTATAGATTTGTTACTTACAGGCATTAGTTTTTGATTTAAAACGGAGAAGGAGGCTCCTGTGTCAGTCAAAAATTCTGCATCTCTTTATCTGCTCCCTAGCTTTATTTTAATCAGTGGGTCTGCTAGGGTAGACGACCCCGGTCCTGTCAATCTTTCTTTGCTGAATCAATTAACACCTGGGGATTCCCCTGGAGCCTTGTGCATTCATTTTTCCAATGATCTTCCTTTTTACAATACGCATGCTGATTTTTTCCTAAAGTGCTCTGAAACCCGTGGTGTTCCTCAGGGGTCTGTTCTGGGTCCAGTGCTGTTCAACATTTTTGTCAGCGACATGGATGACGGCACTGAGTGCACCCTCAGTAAGTCTGCCAAAGACACCAAGCTGGGTGGTGCCATGGACTCACTTGAGGGAAGAGATGCCATCCAGAGGGACCTTGACAGGCTTGAGAAATGGGCTGGTGCAAACTGTGTGAGGTTCAACATGTCAAAATGCAAGTTCCTGCACCTGAGTTGGGCTAGTCCTAGGCACAAATACAAACTGGGCACAGTGGGTTGAGAGTAGCCCTGAAGAGAAGGATTTAGGGATGTAGATAGATGAGCAGCTCAACATGAGCCGGCAGTGCGCTCATGCAGCCCAGAAGGCCAACCGCATCCTGGGATGTATCAAGAGAAGCGTGGTCAGCAGGTGAAGAGAGGTGATTCTCCCCCTTTACTCTGCTCTTGTGAGACCCCACCTCGAATACTGCGTCCAGTTCTGGTGCCCCCACCATAAGAGGGATGTGGATCTGTTGGAGCGTGTTCAGAGGAGGGCCACAAGGATGATCCAGGGGCTGGAGCACCTCTGCTACAAGGACAGGCTGTGGGAGCTGGGATTGTTCAGTCTTGAAAAGAGAAGACTCCAGGGGCACCTAATAGCTGCTTTCCAATACCTGAAGGGAACCTACAGGAAGGCTGGGGAGGGACTTTTTACAAGAGTGTCCACTGATAGGACAAGGGGAAATGTGTTTAAGTTGAAGGAGAATAGATTTAGATTAGATCTTAGGAAGAAATTCTTCAGTGCGAGGGCGGCAAGACTTTGGAATAAATTGCCCAGAGATGTTGTAGCTGCCCCCTCCCTGGAGGTGTTCAAGGCCAAGTTGGCCGGAGCCTTGAGTAGCCTGATCTAGTTGAGAGGTGTACTTTCTCATCTGACCAATCTGGATCCTCATTATTAACTATTAGTTTGAACTGCTTTGCAACTCTCATTGGGTTGTCCCTGTGACACTTTGCTACTTCCTGCCAAGCATCTAAGTTGGCAGAGGAGAACAGAACTTTTACTCACGCCAGTCCGTTGAGACCCATTGCTTCCCACAGAGAAGTGAGCAGTCGGGATCTGCCCTGGGTCCTACTGCGTGTCCTGACTGCAACTGGTGAACCTTCAGCTGCTCCTTCGCCCCTCTCACTCCCCTGCTCAGCAGGCGAGGTGGAGGGCGAGGGAAAAGGGACGGTAGGTGGAGGTGTGTGATACATCCCAAATCCTCTACTCCCTTGTTTACCTTTGCCCAATACAACAGGCTGAACAACACCTCTTAAGCCTAGGTGGTTTTCTTTGGTCCTTTTCTAAAGCCAACACTAAAGGATCCTGCGGAGTGCAATTAATTCTACAATCTCTTTACCATTCAGGGTGATTCCACAACGTGAAAAGCGTATCTGTATACACCAATTCATCCCACTTTCCTTCTCTCCTTAAAAAAAGCATCTAAATTATATAGAAGCCACTATTTACAATACTTAATTCTGATTCACATTTCCCACCTGGAGGTCCCCGTATAACTACCCAATGTACCAAAATACATCCCAAAGGGCTCTTTTTCACTACACCTTCACTTTGTTTTCTCCCATTCTCAGCTCGTCACCCGTCTCGCTTCACTTGTCTCTGGCTGTGCCTCTTGTGGGACAATGGAACCGCGGATCAGAGTTCCTCACTTGCTCCACAGTTACACTGCATCTCACTCATGTCACTCACTCCACAAAAGTTTCAAAGCACGTACAAGTCAATATGCAAAAATCACAACCCGAAGTCAGTATCAGTGCCGACAAAGTGCCATACAATGTATACTTCAGATGAAGTGACTAGTATTGATCCAGCACACAAATCCAAGGCGACGTATACTTTCTGGTATACAAATACAAACAAATGTACACAAGTGATTAATTACTTAATCCTGTATACGATACCCTATGTAGAACATCTTCTACGTTTTATCGGTACCCCAAAACCAATGGTGCACCCCAAAAACACTTTGGGCTTCATTCTAATAGTTCTTCAGGCCTTTTGATACCGTTGTGTAACAGTTTAACTATTAGTACAAAATTTGGGATCCAAATGCTACAAAACCCAGCACTTTCCAAAAAACCTCATAGTTGTCTCTTCGTCCTTGATATTGCAATTTTAATATTTTTTTTTTTGGTATTTCAAAGCCTAAATATTAAACCTTTTCTTTTGCCACTTGGTATTCCATTGACCCCAAATAGTTGAGCAAACTAATAGCTGCTTCCAGGCAACTTTATTCAGTGTCTGTCCCTATTAATATATCATCTGTATGTTGTGAAAGTGTTCCCTTGTCATTGTCACTTAGCTGTTGTTCTAATTCTTGTGCCAATATATTACGAAACAGAGCAGGGCTGGTTTTGAATCCTTGAGGGAGTACAGTGCGTCACAATTGCACCTTTATTGCTGTTGTGGGATTTTCCCATTCAAAGGGGAAGATTGTTTAGCTTTGTTCATCTACTGGGGTACAAAAGAAAGCATCTTTTAAGTCCAGAACAGTAAAATAAACATTTGTTTCTGGTAATGAGGCTAGCAGAGTGTAATGATTCAATGCAGTCAGGTGTATATCCACAGTGAGTTGATTTATTACTTTAAAATTTAATACTAGTGCTGAGAGTGGGGTTTCTTCACTGATAAAATAAGAATAATAAATTCAGACTGGGATTCTCTGAATAGTCCATATTCTGTAAAAGTATTTTCCAAAGGATCCAGTCCTTTCTGTACCTCCAGTCAAATAAGGCATTGGTTTACCCTTACTGGGTTTGCTCCTGGCTGAAGTCATGTTCTGTTTTGGGTCACATTTTTCCTGGTTTCTTTGAAGCCCAGGCCAAAAGAATTACCACATTCAGTACTGCATCTGGGATGTTATTTTCAGGCTTTCCCAAAGTCTTGTCTATCAGCAAGCAGATTTGAGCTTTTCATGCTGTTTCTTGTGGGATGCGTAGCTGTACAGAGTTCTCAGAAAAGGCTATTATTTATGTAGTGAATCTCATCCTAATAACAGAAGGGGTGTACATACTGCTACAGGTCTTGTTTGATTTTGTCTGAACAAAAGTTAGCCAAAAAATAAGTAATAAGCATTCTGTTACTGGGGACTTTTCATTCTTTTTGCTAACCAGACTGTCATGGTTGCCTAACTTTGTATATTTTTAACTTCTCTCAAGATCACAGGGACCAGGGAAGTCTCAGTAAGCTCTGTATGTGCATGCCTGTATGTCTCCGTGTTGGGTTTTTGTCTGATGGGGCTTGGGTAGCTGTCCCATGTATCTGGGAGGAAAAGCATGGATTTGAGTACAGATCTTTAAACAGTTTCCGATAAGAAAATATCATAAGTTGAAAAATTAACTCAGTAGAAAAAAAATTACAATGAAAATATTTAGAAACAAAAAGAAGAAAGTATCCAGGCAGTCTTGGCAGCAGGATATTATAAGGGAAATTAGAAAGATTTTCTTAAGAGTCATGTTTGTAATTCTTCTAACCATGTAATAACTTCTCTGCAGGTAAAGCAACCTTAGGTAAACTAATCCTATATGCACATTGTTCTGGTTCTACTAGTACTCGATTAGCATTTTATGAGCAGAAGTTTATTTCCAAAGTGGTCAGTACGGCTCAGCAGTCTCTGTCAGTGTTCCAACTCTTCAATGTCATCATAGCTTGTGTCTTCAAGAGCAGGGGATGAATGTCTCTCAGCCTCAGAGATTCTGTTGCCTGACGCATTAGGACTCCAGTCTGAAAATGCAAAGAAGAAAACTGACATAAGTGCACATCCTGTACATATTACCTTTACATGGTTTTGCAGTATGGGCTGTCATTTGTCTTCTCCAGAAATCAGAACCTTTGATAAAGGTGGCTGTGAAAGACCTGAGAAATGCTGTTGTCCTCCTGCTTCCCGCTACATATACAACCATCCAAGGATCAAGCTTGCTGTTCCCAGAAAACAGGTTGCTGCTCTAACTTGAAATGCTACTAATAAAGGCAATTCTTCAAAATTTCTTCAAAATTCCTAAATAGCCCAACTCCATTTTACTGCCTCAAGTGTTATCTGACTCACTGCAGATTTAGTAATCAGTCCTTGTCCATCTCACAAATTTGCCCTGATCTGTCTTCTCCCAGGGCTATCCCAGCAGAGTGCTCAGTCCGTTGTCTGTGGTTAAAAATTTCCCCGAGTTCAGTACAGTAATGGATTGTGAAAACTAATGGCTCTGGTTCCCTGGCCTCACCTGTCTGTGAATCTTTTTTTCTGTCACTTTCTTCAGGGATCCAAATGATATCCTTTTCATTCTGCCCACAGAGAGAAGCATCTTTAGGTCCAGAAGCTTCTGCCACATCGTCATAATTGTCTTCCAGGACATTTCCAGGTAGTGGAGAGACCTCTGGAACAGTATAGATATTAACTGTAACAGGGAGAGATCTTCCACTAGAGAAAGCAGTAGTTGAAGATCCAGTAATAAGGGCCTGTAGTACTGAAATTATCACCATAATAATAAACTAAGAATCCTCTTGAGGGTCTAAGGTATTCCGAACAACAATGATATAGCTCCAATAATTGATATACATTGCTGTAACAAGTAAAGAGTGAAAATCAACATGGAGGAGGGCCAGGAAGGGGAAGAAGATCTGGAGAAGGAGGCAGTGACTAGGTTTGTTTCAGAGGAAGATTCCCCATTCCGTAATTGCACAATGACAAATTACTCCTTGTTTATCTTAGAATCATAGAATTATTTAGGTTTGAAAAGACCTTTAAGATCATTGAGTCCAACTGTTAACCTAGCGATGTCAGGTCCACCACTAAACTATTTCCCTAAGTACCTCATCTACTTCTCCTTTAAATACCTCCAGGGATGGTAACTCAAGCACTTCTCTGGGTAGCCTGGTCCGGTGCTTAACAACCCTTTCAGTGAAGATTTTCCTAATATCCAGTCTAAACCTTCCCTGGTGCAGCTTGAAGCCATTTCCTTGTTGTATTGCTTGTTATATGGAAGAAGAGACCAACCCCCACCTCACTTTCAGGTAGTTGTAGAGATTGATAAAGTTTCCCCTGAGCCTCCTTTTCTCCAGGCTAAACATGGCAGTTCCCTCAGCCGCTCCTTGTAAGGCTTGTTGTCCAGACCTTTCACCATCTTTTGCTGCCCTTCTCTGGACACACTCCAGCCCCTCCAATGTTTTTCTTGGACTGAGAGGCCCAAAACTGAACACAGTTTTGAGGGTCAAAGCTGAACACTGGTGCAGCCTCACCAGTGCTGAATATAAGGGGACAATCACTTCCCTGGTGCCGCTGCCCACACTATTTCTGATACAGGCCAGGATGCCGTTGGCCTTCTTGGCCACCTGGGCGCACTGCTGGCTCATGTTCAGCCGGCTGTCCACCAACACCACTTCCTTGACTTGTCACTACTTTAACCACCTTCTCTGAAATGGTCTACCTAAGTAGCCACCCTTGGCTGTTTGCCTATGAACTTGTGGCTCCACACTTACGCCAAACCTTTGGAGAATATTCTCTGCAGTTCTGCTTCTCTTCTCCCTGCTTAACAACCTGAACTCTCTCAGCCTTTCCTCATGGGAGACGTGCTCCAACCACTTGATCATCTTTGTGGCCCTCTGAATCCTCACCAACAAGTCCATGCATTTTTTGTGCTAAGGACTCCAGAGCTGGAACACAGCACTCCAGGTGGGGTCTCACCAGAGTGAAGTAGAGGGGAGAATCACCTCCCTTGACCTGCTGGCCATATTTCTTTTGGTGCAGCCCGTGATGTGATTAGCTTTCTGGAGTGCAAGTGCACATTGCCAGCTCATGTCCACTTCGTCACCCAGCAGTATCCTCAAGTCCTTCTCTGCAGTGCTGTTCTCAAACCATTCATCCCCTAGTCTGTACTGATCCTAGTGATTACCCTCAGCTAGGTGCAGGACCTTGCACTTGTCCTTGTTGAACTTCACAAGCTTCACATAGGCTCACTCCTCAAGCCTGTCCAGATCTCTCTGGTTGGCATACCTTGCCTCTGTTATATGAACTGCACTACTCAGCTTGCTTTTGTCTGCAAACTTGCTGAAGGTGCAGTCAATCCTCTACCTGTGTCATTAATAAGGATGTTGAACTGTATCAGTCCCAGTACAGATCCCTGAGGGACACTACTTGTTACTGGTCTCCATTTCAACACTGAGCTGTGGACTGCAACTCTTCAGATGAGGCCCTCCAGCCAATGCCTTATTCATTGAACAGTCTATCCATCAGACTCAATTCTGTGAGTAGCAAGCTCTCTGATTCCTTGGGGGTGGCTAGCTCTGTGGTCTGTACTTAAATGGAATCCATCCCTTGGAAAATATTAATTTTCACTGTGTTACAGTGTATACATATTCACATGGAGCATTGACATACATATAATACACAAATAAAGTTGAGGTCAATCATAGCAATTCTATTTTACTTTTTACCGAGTACTCAATATTCAATCTGAATAAGAGAAAGAGATCTTATTTGGAATAATCTTCTTTATAAGCCTTTGAATGCAAGTGAGCAAAAGCTCTTTTTCAATTATTTTAAATAATAAAAACATTAATAAAAGAAAGACGATAGAAAATAAAATTAAAGACATAACACAGCAGAGATTGTGGGTTATGGGCAGCTTGAGCTGTCTTTGACAGCTGATCTCCTGGAGACCAGGCAATACCTAAGAGAGCTTTCTGATCAGCTCTAGGAAAGTGCACTTCTCTAAACCCTTGCTCTCCCTCAGCTTTTTCAGATTAAAAGATCTCCACATCTGCCAAACTGCATTTTCTTCCGGTCACTCGGATTAAAGTTCCCTGGTTAACTCCAATCACATGCCAATATTCTTATGTGGAACATGATTTTCCACTGTTTTAATTGTCCTCATTTGTCTCAGAAATGAAGCAATGACTTACCAGCTGCTACAGTTGCAATTTCTATGAGAAGTAGTTGTTAAATTATTGGATTCATGTCACTGGATACTGTGAAGAGTGCAATACTACCAGCAAGCATTTATTTTCAACTTGTCATATAGAAGAAAAAACTAGCACTTTTATACAAGATTGTACGACATTATTCCACTACAAGAGTTGAACAGAAATTTTTGGTTCACATCAAAACATCACTAGTAGACATGAAATGCAGCAAGAAAAAAACATTTTAATCACTAACAATGCTTTGGAAATTAAAAGCTACCCTGATTTTTAGTCTCTTACTTTGTAGGAACTCCATTTTCCATTACCTTGAGTTGCTCCAGGACCATTTTCTTCATCACTGTCCCCGCTATAAGACTGTGCCTTTGTTTTTGAGCTGTCTGAATAAGAATCTAGGTGAATGAGAAAGAGTGCAATATCAGATTAAACTCCCCTTAGCTGCTAAGACAGCATCTTGAAGAAAGGAATAGTCTATGGTATTACCATCCAAGTCCAACAGATTCTTGAGCAGTCAGTATTACTCCTGCAAGGTAAGGGGTTTACAGTGGAATAGCCAAGAATTCCTCAGGGGCCCCATAAGACCTCTTGTGGCTCCTTGGGGAGACAAGTCATGAGGGGAGAAAGGCAGTTAAGAGGAAGCCGACAGAGACATATAGCTGCTGGGAGGGAGATACAAATTATTCCTTTATTTGTTCCTGCTTTAAATAATTGCAGCAAGAGCCTTTTTGTTTGTTTGTGGTTTTGGTTTCTTGTTTGTATACTGTTCTATATTCTGTGGCTGAATCATGAACGGCACAAAATGAACTGTCCCTAGGAGAGGAACTGGCAGACTCCAGCGGGCAGAAAACCCCTCTCCTCAAATCTAGGAATTTTCCGTTTCCCAGTAGATTTGGGTGCTGCAAAGTGTCAGATAGGGATCTGGGACACCAGGAGGAGTTTTCCCTTGACAAGAGCAAGACACACAGACCTGAGAGACCAGTCATGCCCTGCTTTTCCCTCATCAGGCTGTAGTCGATCTCTTCATAGACAGCCTCAGAGAAGGGGTCATAGAATAGTCTGGATCCTGAAAGTAAAAGGCAATGATCACTCATAGTCTCTGCTTGTACCTGGGTTGGAGACACAGAAAGGAGAAGTAGCCTAATGGGGTCTACATGCCAGCTTAGTACCCAGAAAGTTGCTGAGAGGTGCTGACTGAGGCTGCTGGGCTCTTTCACTGCCAGAGAGTAAGTGAAAATCTCAGTGTGGCGGCAGAGGCCATTCATCTCAGTCACCCAGCCCCCCAGCCTCCTCAGCCAACTAAACACTCTTCAGCCATGTCCAGGAGGCATTTCATACAGAGGGACTCACCTCTCTGCTGTGCCCTGACACTTCGGATCTGTCCAGCAAGAATGGCAAGGACCAGGCACAGAAGGGCCCCCAGGATAATGCAGAGGATGACAGGTACTGAAATTCTTGTACTGTCTGTTTCAGTGTAGCGGGGAGGATCTGAATGGAAATGAAGAAGCAACAAGTGACCCAAAGGAATGCTTCTCCTGCTATGTCCACGCTAGCAGGGTGAGGCAGGTCATCTGCTGCCCACTTGTGGGTCCTGCTCAAGCAGCTAGAATTCAGCAGCTGGGGATGGTGCCACTCAGCTCTCCTTTACAAAAGGCTGTGGGAGATGCTTTTTAGTGAGCTGGAAAGTACTGCTGATTTACCTTCTATGCAGTATCACGGACATTCAATACTCATTTGAGGGGAGGAAGAAAGGAGGAGGAAGGAATGTTTTACCTGCTTTAGTAGGTGATGCTGTTATTTCTGTCATACCTGCAAAAGGAAGGCGAGTCCAGGTTATGGAAGAGGCAAGTGTGAAAAATAGGGAGAACATCTTGTAATTTGTGAGCTTCCTGCAGTCAAAATTATGAAGGAGGTAGTCACTGGGATGTACAGCTCACATAATTTTCCTATACCCACCTCCTTCCCAGATCTCTGTAATGAACCAAAGGACCAGTCACTAACCGGAGCAATTCACAGCGGCATCTTCCTTATGATCACAGTTTTTGCTGAACAAGCGCTTGGCAGGACAGTCCCAAAGCGACAGCTCTGTTCCTTTACAGTGCACCTTCTCCAACCAGATGGGACCAATGCCTTCCCCAAAGACAGCTTCACTCAGAGCAGACACAGCAGATCCACAACCCAGCTGCCTGCATACAACATTAGCGTCAGCCATGTCCCAGGAATCATCACAGACTGTTCCCCAAGAACCTTGGTGCCAAATCTCCACTCTGCCTGAACATTCATCCTCTCCTCCTATGACTCGTAACTTCTCCCTGTCTGCAAAACACAGAAATCTTTTGTATTGCTGCAAAAGCAGGAAGGTCCATAGGGACCAATAAGGAGAAAGAAAGAGAGGTACCTGAACAACTTGTAGAGTTTGGACACTCAGCAAATGTGGCTGGAGATGTTGCCTCTTTTCTTCCTGTAGAATTTAAATGTCTCAGTAAATAATCTGATTATTCTCTAGTAAGAGTGAGGGAGGATAAAATGCCTAAAAATTAATCATCAATTTTTTTTATTATAATGTATAGATGACCTATTTAGTGCTTAGTGGATCGCTGTTTGGCTATTGCTGGGAATTAAATAATCTTCCTGTGACTGTGCTTTCTTTCTTTCTTCTGGTGTGAGGCAGCTGCAATACTTTTCAGGAGATCTAATTCATACACTTGTCTGTGACTGTGTGAATGCACATGTGTACAGGTACATATGCACTGATATGCCTCCATGCACGTAGAAACACATATACATATCTACTTCTTTAGAAGTATGACTCAGATCTCAGATCTCACAGACTAACTGTGTATCATAGATTTGTACTTTAAAAATATGCAATATTACCATCCTATCAGAGAGATGCCGGGGATTTCCACTGGGTAACTGCACTCAGTGACACTCATGCAATTTTAGTTTGCTCATTTACATCAAGGATATAGACAAAGAAAAATGTTTGAGCTATTTGCACAAAACTAGAAATAATAAATGCTAGATAAAAAATTAACATAAGGTAATACTACAATGTCTATATATGCATGTGTATATTTATGTATATGTCTGGGCTGTCCTGTACAGGTGCATTTCTAATTACCAGTGCAAGAAATATGAGTCTCTTCTGCTCGGTTATCACATGACTGAGGATCCCAGGGGTCTGACTGACATTGCCAGAGAGAGCTATGTTGCTCAGTACACTCAATGTGGTCCAGCCACGTGGGCCCGGAACCTCTGCCATATTTGAAGTCTCTTTCGATTTCCCCACCATCTCCACAGTTCAGGTGTTTGCATACAGTTATTGCAGTGAGTTGAGACATGTGATTGGAACAAATGCTTCCCCATGTCCCATTGTAGAAAACTTCTAGTCGCCCAGCACAGTCACTGCCATTCACCAGCCTCAAAGCCAGGAACTCTACAAGTGAAAACAAAAATAGAATTAGACGGGCCTAATTCTCCTAGGAACCTGACTGTGTTGAGTGAAATCCAGAATCTGCTAACAATTCTATTCATCACTCTGAATAAAGAAGTGCCAGAGAAAAAACACTCTAAAAGCGACAAACACTTAAATGAAAAAGTCATAAAATTATCCTCTCCAGTTAGCCAGCAAATTCACCGTCATCTACAACAACAAAGAACGGTGATGGCCACACCCCCACAGCTGCAGACGTATTTCTTTGGTATCTTGAAGTGTGGATGCCATGAACACCTCTGATTTACTGAAGTTTTGATGTGCAATGACTTGCTTATAATAATTTCAGAGCTAGATGTATTGGCTCACCTGCAGAAGCACAGGGCAGCCCTGCAGCCTTCAATGACTGAAACCCTGCTGATTGTAGCTGTACATTTTACCCCTCACCATTATGAAACACTTATTTAAGAAGTGTTTGAACTTATATCCACTATAAACTCTACTGTCATCATAGTTGTAAAATACATGCGTTATGAACTCTACCCTTAGACTCAGACAATAGGTATTGACATTGTACAAATAGTTGATAAAACACTATGTCTCATTCTGGGAACCACATTATAGGGGTTGATATCATACCAATCTCAACATATATTTATTATAAGTTTCAGACCTTGTCTCTGCAAAACACATGAACAAGAACGTCCTTTATGAGGTAAACTTACTCTCTTTTAGTTACTTAGGTAAAGGCACACATTTTATTGTTCTTTTTCCGAAGACCAACCAGTAAATAAATCTTGCTTTTTAAACAAATAGAGACCACTTTCTTTGGGATTTCAACTGTTTCAGACTTCCCAATGCAAACATCCTCAAGCTGATAGTTTATCACACAAATGAGCTCAGGCTTTCTTTTAGGCTGTATAGACTCAAGCAAACAGTACAGACTCAAGCACAGCTCTACTTTTCCAGCTGCCTAGTGAGGTACTCATTCTACTTGTTCTTAAATGGTTGTATTTTTGTAATCATAGAATCACAGAACAGTTTTTGCTGGAAGAGACCTTCAAGATCATTGAGTCCAACCTTTTCCTAGCCCTATCAACACTACTAAACCATGTCCCCCAAGGAAACATCTACCCTTCTCTTAAACACCTCTAGGGATGGTGACTCAGCCACCTCCCTGGGCAGGCTGTTCCAATGGCTGACAACCCTCTCAGTAAAGAAATTCTTCCTAATATCCAACCTGAACCTCCCCTGGTGCAACTTGAGGCCATTTTCTCTCATCCTGTCACTCTCCACTAGGGAGAACAGACCAACCCCCACCTCTCTACAATCTCCTTTCAAGCAGTTGTAGAGAGACATAATGACTTATGTCGTCTGATGCATGCCTAAGCAGCATTCCATGGTGCCAACAGATATTTGTTTATTCCTTCTAGGGTGCCATCTGCATTTGCTGTCTGGTGAAAGCTTTTAGCCACCTTTGTGATGCTCTACCACTGTGAGAACATAGAATCTGCCAGTGTTGCTGAGAAGGAAGGGATTGGTCTATATAATCCATTTGCCAGGCATCTCCAAACATTCATTTCTCTCACTGTTCATAATGTTTAATCATTTGCGCTGCAGATTGTGTTATTCCACAGACATAACACTGCCTAATTGCTTGCACTGTATCTTCCCAAGATGAGTCTAAGCTGTCTCTCTGTCCTCAATCCTTCACAGCATGCGTATCAGTTTCCTAGGCTCATCTGTCTAAAAACAGTTTTCCTTTATGCTCCCATCCCAAATCTCTACTGAGAAGTTGAGCCAGTTGGTCAGCTTGGTTGCTGTGTTTCTCTTCTTGAGTTGCCTTTAAATTTGGGATACGTGCGTTATTAGCATGACATACTAAACAGGTTTTTCTTCAGGCAGCTTTTGTACTACTTCTGCTCAAAATGGTTTTCCTCACTGCTGCCAGTTACCACAATTTCATTCTTCAAACCATTTCATTACCACATTGTTTACTATCCAAGCATCTGTATACATGGGTCTGTTGATGCTGCTGAGTATGTTTGAAGGCTATTTTCAAGGCTTTTGAAACTCTTTCAAGTTTCCTTCCAGATGGCAGCTCCTCCTGTAGAAGGATTCCAAGGATTTCCACCTCCCGTTTCCTGCTGTGGTTTTACAGAATCCACGGGTAAACAAACTCTGTTGTTTATTTTCAGTACTGAATTAATCATATGCTAGGGCTTTGGCAGCCAAAGGTGTTTGGTCTTCCTCATACTGTTGCTGGATATTGACTTAGTAAATTCAATTAATCCTAATCTGGAGTGCGAACCGATATGTGTGGACTGGCAAAGGGCCAGTAGACATTTTTGCCATGCAGTTGCGGTTGCTCTTCCCTCAGTGGTTTTGAGTCCTTGAATTTAAAATTCAGGACTGCTAGTATAGAAACATAACCACAGTGACTGCTCTGCTCTCACTTTAGTGGCACTCAGACACCCTCTGCATATACAACTAAGACTTCTTGCTCTAGAGTGGAGTAGTTATGTTCTGCTCATTTGTGCCTGACACAATCATGCTAACAGTGCCACAAACTCTTTATGATGTTTTTATTTCCTGCATGTGCATATAACAAATTTTTTACATTGCTACCTACCCATATTGATCCTAATGCCATGGCATGGACTATTTCTTGCTGATCAGCTCCAAAGCTTTCTGTTGTTCTTCTTTCCGCTAAAAATGAGGTTTATTTCAAGTCACTTGGTATTTGGGTTTGGTCAATTGGCTGTCATCAGGAACGTGTGTACATCAAAATCCGTAATGCCCAAGAAAGCCTGGGGTTTTGTTTATTGTGTAGAGGTCCATGGTGGTTATCCAAACAATCTGGTCAACTGACGTGTAGCAGCACCCATTTTGTATGCCTAAAATCTGTGTATCTTGAGGGGGCCTTTTTACTTTGGAGTGCTTATTTGCAGATTCAGCACTGAGAAAAGTAATGATTACCTGTAGCCCTATACTTAGTACTTCAGGAGTTGTTCTTCCAATCAATACATGATCAAGGCTGTCAAAGCAACACACCATAATTTTGGGGTTTCACAAGCAATATAACCCCTTTGTATCTCCCAGGCTGATATGCTTGGACACAAAAATATCAAGGCTCCAGGCCACAGGAATTCCTCCTAAACACCTTCACCTCCAATCAGGTTGGTCTCCTTTTCCCACCTGTTTATAGACAGTTCATATCCTTCCCCACACCTCTCCCCCCTGCACCCACTAGTGGATGTGCCATTTACGTGTCACCAGAACAAGAAAAATTTCCAGTATCAGAATCAAGGCTTCTCTGGATCTTTAAAACCACTAAAATTATTCCAGTCCTAGCAATGTCCTTTTCAACTTCTCCTTCATTTCTCCTCTTGCAGCTGCAGCTCTCTCTTACATATGCATGAGCAGAGCTGCCATACGCTTAACCATATGGTTGATGCTTTTGGTGCACAATGAGTTGTTTCCACTGTTTTCAGAGCCAGCTGTAAGTGACTATAGTGAGCACATGGCAGTTGATGATCTCCTCGCACATGAGGAACACCCACATCTCCTTGCTGTGGAAATCTTTATGGAAGCCCTCCAATTTACCCCCCAAATATCCCACCCTACCACATACTTTTTAGTGTGTGTGTTTGTGTGTGAATGCAAAAGAAGGCTTCTGTAGACCCTTTGCATCTGATTGGAACCAGGGGAATATGCTGACCAACAATGCTCGTGGTCAAGAGAGTAAGATGCTCTCTTCCCCAAGCCAGTCTCCACTATTCCGATTCCCCTTCATGTAACACTACACTTTCGACACAAACTCAAAAAACTGTTTTCCAAACACACCTGAGCACAGGACTCCAGCATCCTCTTTGTGTTGGCAGTTGTGTTCACCCCATGCCCTGGAGGGACATGCCCAGAGATCGGATTCAGTCCCGGTGCAGTTTACATCATCCAGCCAGATCTGTCCTGAGCCTTCACCATAATGAGCAGACACAAATTCCTTAATGGCGTGTCCACATCCCAGCTGTTTGCAAACAACATTAGCATCTGATAGATCCCAGTTATCATCACAGATGGTGCCCCAGATGCCATCATGATAAAGTTCTACTCTCCCAGCACAGCGCTTTGTTCCATTCACCAGCCTGATCTGTCTGCTACCTGCCGGAAGAAAACCCACCTGTCAACATGCAATATAAAGATCATGCACGGATCTGCATAATGGCTGTATGTTTAGAACACTTTCAAGGCATCGTGTTCTTGTTATATTCCAGTTCTTTTATGGCTTCTTGAGCATAACTCCTGTGATGCTAAAATCACATAAAGAGAAGGGCCTACTACTGTGTCAGGTAAATTAATAACTCCTGTGAGATGCCGCAAACAAGGAATGTCTAGTCATATTAAGTATATACAGAGATCACCTTAGAAAGCTGGAAAAGCTACTTTCTGTCTAAACTCATTTAGTTAGGCAGAGGCAGATACAGTTTCTGGCATGGATGGGTTATGAAGTGAGAGCAGAAACAATTTTAATTTACTTTAGGAAGGCATTTCTATACAAATATAGAAATGTCACAAAATAAAGCCTATTTAATTCCCAAGTTACAGTCGGACTGTGTGCCAGTCATGACCAAATTAGTGTTCTTATGGCTTCTATATTCTTTTATTTCTTTTTGTTTCTGTGAGATACATTATTCGAGAAATTCAGATAAAGCATTAATTAAATTACACTTACTTCCTGAACTATCATTTGTCCCTTAGAGAATACAAGCATGTGGGTATCACATGCTTATTTAAGATCTGGTGAGACTACAGCACAAGGAGGGCTAGGGGCAACCCTAGGAAGCAAAAGTAACTCACCTGAGCAAATCACACCAATGTCTTCAGCAACTCCCGTTGGCACTGACTGAGAATGGGAGGTCTTGCAAAGCATCAGATGAGTCTCATTTCCAGCACACTGGACACTTCTTAAGCCAACAGGACCCGTGCCTCGCTCAGACCTTGGAAGGTAGAAGGCTTTTACGGCAATTCCACATTGGAGCTCTCTGCATACCACATGAGCATCCTTGATGTCCCAGTCATCATCCAGGACTCTGCTCCACATGCCATGTAGTGAGATCTCAACTCGCCCATCACAGCGGCTTTCACCACCTGAGAGTCTGAGTGATTCAGAAAGACCTGGGCTCAAGAGAGTTGGAAAATTTATTGAATATCATCTACTGCTCTTTCTGCAGTAGAAGTAACATGCAGGAGACAAATTCCAATGCTGGCAAAAAAAATAATTCTCACCACTGATTAAGGAGACAGCCTCTGTTGAGACTTTGCTTTCATGCACAGAAGGGTCTGCAATAGGAAGCGAGAAAGGCTTTCCCAGCAAAAAGACTACATCTGGTAAGGAGCCAGGCACATTTAAACAATGTGAATCCCTCTACTAAATGAAGTTTCTATGCTCAAATCAAAGTTGGAGGGGTTGAGGAAAGGAAAGGCCATTAAAGATAAGCTGGCACACCAGGCTTCTTGTGTGCTGAGTGGTATTACCAATGTTGCTTTGGTCTGAAGTTGTGCTACCCGTAAAAGGCCACTCTTAACTTACCTGAGCATATAACAGTGGCTACTTCTCTGGCTGAACAGGTTGGATTGCCCAAAGTCACTTGAGCACAATCCCCCAGGCAGGACTCTGTCCCTTCACAGTGAAAAGCATCTCTCCATACAGGCCCATTTCCATCCACAAAATGGTCTCCTGTCTCGATTGACTTTGCATAGCCACAGTTCAGCTGATGACAGAGAACGCTGGCTGCCTGCAAATTCCAGTGGGAGCGACAGAGTCTTCCCCATGTATCTCCATGGCGGATCTCCACTCTGCCAGAGCATGTTGTGCCATTCATCAGCCTGCCCCCTGGGCAGCCTGAATATAACACAAAAAGAGTACTGAGATGTCACAGAATCATAGAATAGTTTTGGCTGAAGAAAATCTTTAATATTATCAAGTCTAACCATCAACTCAACCCCACCAAATCAGCTGTTAAACCATGTCCCCAAGCATGGCATCTACTCATCTTTTAACCACCTTGACTGCCTCCCTGGGAAGCCTGTTCCAGTGCCTGACAAGCCTTTCAGTGAAGAAGTTCCTCCTAATATCCAATCTAAACCTCCCGTTTGAGGCCATTTCTTCTTGTCTAGCTACTAAGGAGACCGACTCCCATCTCACTACAAGCTCCCTTCAGGTGGTTTTAGAGATTGATAAGGTTTTCCCTGAGCCTCCTTTTCTGCAGACTAAACCAGCCCTAGTCCCCTCAGCCCCTCCTCATAAAACTTGTTGTCCAGACCCTTCACCAGCTTCGTAGCCTTTCTTTGGACACACTCAAGCACCTCGATGTCTTTCTTGTAGTGAGGGGTGCAAAACTGAACATGGAATTCAAGGTGCAGCCTCACCAGTGCAGAGTACGGGGTGATGATCTCTTCCCTGGTCCTGTTCATAGCTGCTCATGGGCATGACCTGAAAGTGACTGGGAAGTGGGAATGAGTTCCTTAGCATTCAGTAGTAAAAATTACTCCACTGTGCTATTGGAACTTCCATACTCATAACTAGACTTTAGTCCACCCTAATTTACTGAGAAGAATGGCTAGAAATCAGGATCTGGTCCCCTTTGCATTTTTTAAACTCAGGGAACTAGGCTTCAGGGCATGAACTAATAGGCCTTAATTATTCTGACCTGCCTTACCTAGGGCCTCCAGCTGTGCACCCTTGGGCTACTGGTCCAAGGCCTGACTTAAACCTGGACCAGACCTCCAGTCCTTGCCTCAACTTTGTGACTAATGTTACTGTCCCTAGTCTTGTCTCCTGCTACTCCTGACTGTACTCTCCAGTTGGACCTTACATCTGATTGGTTACTTTGCTTTGTCTGGGACTATCCATAGACCTTGTTATCAGTACCTTCCTCTATCCTCTGTGCAGATGCTTTGAATTGTGCTTTGGTGGGTAAGGACACTGCCTGTGTTGTCCTTGCCCTCTGCCCCCAGCTCATCGTATCTTGTGGAGCAGTCCTGTTCTTACTATTCCCTGACACTAGGAGCATTTCACAGAGAGCAGCTTTGTGATACACAGAGGCAAGACAGAGCTTGGCTCCACCAACACCCTCTGGATTTTGGGTCTTCATTTTGCCTTGAAGGAGGAGTTTTTTAATTCCCCTCTTAGAACTTTCTACAGCTTACCTGAACATACCACATGAGCATCTTTTCCAGCAGGGCATTCGTCATGACCTAGCACACTCACAGGGCAGTCTCTTAGGTGTGAGCCATTCTTCTTGCAGCTGAATGTGCCATTCCAGACGAATCCATTTCCTTTTCCAAAGGACTGTCCATCGGGTATGAATAGGGCAACTCCACAGTCCAGGTGCTGGCAGAGGGTATTAGCAGCCGGTAAATCCCATAGGTTGTCACAGAGGGTTCCCCATGTGCCTCCATGAAGAAGCTCTACTCTCCCTGAACATGCGGTACTGCCATTTGCCAACCTGTATCCACCATAGCCTGCAGGAAGAATAAAGGAAGTTAACAGTTTTGTTTTGAGCTTTTTTCTGCTCTTGCATTGAAAATTGTAAGAGAGGTCTAGCTGCAAGGAACTAGCACTTGTTTTGTCTCAGGTTACTGGGGAGCATGTGAGACCAGGATGCTCATAAGCCAGCTCTGAAAAAAAGTCTTTATTGTCCATGTTGTAGTCTGCACTACATGACTAAAACTCTTTTGACTCTAAGTTCAGTCTCTCCTTCTCTGCTTTTCTCTCTCCTCCCACAATGCTGCTGCTACCTTGCAACACCTTTTCGTTGCAGAGGCAGTTTCAGTGTTGCTTTGCATTCGAAGCATATGAGAAACTCAGAGTAGGACCTACATCTCACTCTTCCTGGTAAGCAGCACCTGCAATGTGCAATCCTCAACTTTCATCCGTGCCACAGCATAAGGCTCTGAACAAAACAAGCCATGTCCATCAGCACATTAGCAATAATTTAAGTGCAGAGTGGTAGGACTATGGTGTCCTGCTACCAGCCCCCTACAGTCCTTCTATCTTTTCACATTCTTACTCCTCCCCCTTGCCTGTTTCTTGCATCATATTTCCCCTAATGTGACCAGGATTTCTGCCCTGAACTGTGACTCTTGCAAGATGAAAGAGCCAACCATCTTGTGTCAGGCAACAGTAAGAACAGGGCTGTTCCACAAGGCAGGATGAGCTGAGGGTGGAGGGTGAGGACAACACAGCCATCTTATCTCCTTGAGCCAAGCTCTGTCAGTTACCCATATCTTAACTGGGCTTTTTGGCTGCCACAGCTCCCCAGCTAGTGCTCCGGATCATCATGGCCAGTGGGACAATATCCAAGGCACTCTTGAAAGAGACTGCATCCCTGTGATTGGGAAATGGAAATGAACTGCAGTCCTTTCCAGGCTTGTTTTGTGACAGACTGGTGCCAGCAGCTCTACCCCATGTTCAATTTGCCCCTTTTGATTTCTTCCTTCAGGAGAAAGTTGCATTTGCTGGTTTTAATCATCACTTTTTAGTGGGTGGCAATAATTTAGCTATGTTTAGAGGCCCCAGAAGCCATGACTTGTATTCAGTTCTTAAATAATATTACCTGGCAGTCTGGCAGTTACAATAAAGTTATCTAGGCCTCTAACATCTTTTTTTTTTTTCTTTTTTTTCTTTTTTTTTTTTTTTAAATGTGTTACGTCTGTAACTTGTGCCTCCTTTGACCTGTTGGAGGAATAGTATCTCTCCCAGTTTTATAATTAACTAATGTGTCAGGGATTAACAAACTCACTGGCAGCACAGAAAATATATTTTCTCCACCGTAAGAGGGACATAGATATGTTGAAGTGAATTCAGAGGAGGGCCACAAAGAAGATCCAGGGGCTGGAGCACCTCTGCTATGAGGATAGGCTAAGGGAACTGCGATTGTTAAGTCTTGAAAAGAGAAGACTTCAAGGGGACCTAATAGCTGCCTTCCAGTACCTGAAGGGAACCTACAGGAAGGCTGGGGAGGGACTCTTTACAAGAGTGTCCACAGGCAGGGCAAGGGGGAAAGAGGTTAAGGTGGGGAAATGAGTTTAAGTTAAAGGAGAGTAGATTTAGATTGGATCTTAGGAAAAAATTCTTCAGCATGAGGGCAGCAAGACTTTGGAATAAATTGCCCAGAGATGTTGTGGCTGCCCCCTCCCTGGAGGTGTTCAAGGCCAGGTTGAATGAGGCCTTGAGTAGCCTGATCTAGTTGAGAGGCGTCCCTGCCCATGGCAAGGAGGTTGGACTAGATGATCTCTAAGATCCCTTCCAACCGCAAACATTCTATGACTCTGTGATTCTATGATTCCATGATTCCATGTTCCTGCTTTTCTGCTGTGGCCATCCCTCCTCTTATGTATATGAGAAAGACATGGAAGGAATTCTCAGCACTACTGAGTGCATAGCTTTACTAGCATAAAAGAAATTACACTTCTTTTGAGCTCTGCATCGCTGGTACAGAATTGAAGTGGCTAGAACAGTCCATGTTAAGTGCAGCCTCTCAGGAGAGTGAATGAGAGATTGTGGGGCTGCTCTGCTCAGATAGGGTCCCCAAGGACCACAGAAATATGCAGAGGCTCTGAATTGTGGTTTAATAGGAAGAAATATAGGACATGTAAATTATATCTATCAGTCCAAAGTCTTACCTGAACATACAACAGTGGCCTCATGAGAGCATGTCTTACTATGGTGCAGCATCCTGGG